TGCCTGCTGGCCGGACGCACTCGGGCTATCCAGCGCTTCCACGAGCGCCATCCCGGCTACCAGGATGCCGAGATAAATGCCCGTCTGGTGGCCTACTGCTCGGACCAGGCCCACTCCAGCGTGGAGAAGGCGGCGTTGATTGGTGCGTGGCTCTAAGCAGCTTAGGCTTACTTTAGAGTTCTTCCCCTTCCTCTCACTCCCACTCTCACTCTCGTTCTGCCTGTCCACCCACACAGGACTCGTCCGTATGCGGTACATCGAGGCGGACGAGGAGCTCGCTATGCGCGGCAAACTGTTGCGCGAGGCCATCGAGGATGACGTTAAGCAGGGCCTGGTCCCCTTCTGGGTAAGTTGAAGTCTGTCAAAACTAATTGGCCAAGAATGCGGCGGCAGCTGATTGCCCAACTCCCACTGGAGCCAATTAATACATGTCAGCAGTTAACTGTCCGCCTGCCGTGGTTCTACGCTTCTACTTTCAGGTCTGCGCCACCCTCGGCACCACCGGCAGCTGCAGCTTCGACAATCTGGAGGAGGTGGGTGCTCTCTCTGCGGACCAATAATCTGTTTCCACTGACAAATTCCACTCCCACTCCTTAATTCCACCGCAGATCGGCCTGGTCTGTAGGGAGCACAACCTGTGGCTGCACGTCGACGCCGCCTACGCTGGGAGCGCGTTCATTTGCCCCGAGTTTCGCACCTGGCTGCGGGGCATCGAGCGGGCGGACTCGATTGCCTTCAACCCCTCCAAGTGGCTGATGGTGCACTTCGATGCCACCGCCCTGTGGGTGCGCGACAGCACGGCCTTGCATCGCACCTTCAACGTGGAACCGCTGTACCTGCAGCACGAGAACTCGGGCGTGGCCGTGGACTTCATGCACTGGCAGATACCCCTGAGCCGCCGCTTCCGCGCCCTGAAGGTGTGGTTCGTGCTGCGCTCGTACGGGATCAAGGGCCTGCAGCGCCACATCCGCGAGGGGGTACGCCTGGCGCAAAAGTTCGAGGCGCTCGTCCTGGCTGATCACCGCTTCGAGCTGCCAGCGAAGCGTCACCTCGGCCTGGTGGTGTTTCGCATTCGCGGCGACAACGAGCTCACAGAGAAGCTGCTGAAGCGACTGAACCATCGCGGGAAGCTGCACTGCATCCCCTCCTCGCTGAAGGGGCAGTATGTCATCCGATTCACCATCACCTCGACGCACACGACCCTCGACGACATCGTCAAGGACTGGATGGAGATCCGCCAGGTGGCCTCTATGGTGCTCGAGGAGATGAACATTACCATCTCGAATCGCGTCTATCTCAAGGGTAAACGCAAGTCCTTCCGCCTCTAGTGGAACCTAGTGGGGTTCAACCTCAGTTTCCCGAATCTATTCTGTTCTATTGCCTGCCTTTGTTCTTTTAGATTTTTTATGTTTTGAGTTCATGAGTTAATGCACTTCGATCCACCCAAAATCGATGATTTTCTTGAGAGATCTGGGACAATATAGGGGCACTGCTTGAGATTGTTCCTTGTAATGGGAATGATAATTCTAGTCCGTTTTATTCAAATGTGACCGGAATAGAATAATGGGTAGTCGTTGGGTAAATGGATGAATATGGTGGGAGAAGTACAGATACCAAAAAGGAGTATCTAGAAAAGCCTTAAACTAGTCTTTCGATCCTCTTAGTATCGTACTATTTTTCCTGCCATAGAACAGGCCTAGTCTAGTCCACTGCCCAGAGCCATCCCAATCATAGAAGCCAGTCCTACACGACATTCTTGACAGTACTCCGCCTTTTTCAATTGTGCTTCCGTAGACACCAAGGAGAAGAGCGAGGCCTTTGGCTCAAGCCTGCTGCTGTCGAACTCCCCAATGTCCCCCAAAGTGGTCAACGGTTCCTTCGCCGGCATATTCGACGCAGATGAGTTTCTGGCCAAGACCTATGCAGGCATTCGAATAGCGGTGAGTGGAGGCACAGGCCCACCAATGAAGATCCTTTAGTACAGATCTCATCCTCAACACAGCACCAGGAATCCCCATCGATGCGGCGACGCGTGCGTGGCATCCTCATGTCCGGCAAGCAGTTCTCGCTGGACTCCCACATGGATGTGGTGGTGCAGACCACCCTGGATGCCACCACCGGCGAGACCAACAGCACCACCAACTCGTATGGGAGGACCGCGGTGCGCGAGAACTCGGCCCAGGCCGGGGGCCAGCAGGCGAGCATCCGCGAGGACAACGAGGAGTCGACGGAAGGTATGAAGCCCAGGTAGCGTAGTCGCCAGTTAGATCTATTGCCAGTGCTCGGTAGCCATTTAGCCTCCCACTGCAGGAGCTAATCTTGTCCCATGGCTAACACATTCCAATCTTCTCCATCTCTGTGTAGACACTGAATTGCTGCAACTCTGCCGGACCAGCAGCGCCAACTCCAACTCCTACTCCCTGTCCACCTGCCCAAGCTGCAGCACCCACTCGACACCAACGAACCAGTTTCGACCCATTTCCTTGTTCCCGGATCCCAAACCGTTGCCATCCCCTTCTTCTACTCCTTCCAGCATAGGCCACAATGTCACCGTCTCCGTGGACACTCTTTTCGCACCCCTGACCCACGGCGACATGTACCACGGCAAGCGGTTCCTGGAGCCCGTCAGCAGCCTCATGGACAACAGCTCCTCCTTCACCAGCAGCGTCTTCCAAGTGCCCACCCCCATTACCACGCCTACCGACCTGGAGGACTTCGACTGGCCGGCCAAGACCTTCAGCCAACTGCTGCTTGAGCGCTACTCGAACGCATCCCAATCGCCGGGCGACTCCTCGACGGACAGCAGCAGCATCAGCTACCCCAGTGCAGATGGTGGTCTGGCCACGCCCACGCCCACAGGCACACCGAGGAGCAGCCTCAACGATCTGGCCTCGCCACTGCTCGGATCGTTTGCATCGCCCTCATCCCAGCTGATGCAATCGGCCCGAGGGGAATTGGAAGGAGATGGAGACGAAGGGGAAGGACCGGACTCCAGCGACTCGGATGCGACCATCTGCTCAGGGGCATCCTCGATGGAGTCGTTCTAGCTCTAGTTAGTAATAGTGTTAGTGTTTCTGTGTGTGTGTGTGTGTGTGAGCCTATGTGCGGGCATGTATTTGTAGGTGGGGGAGGGGGGACACTCATCGCTGCTGTGCAACCAATCAATAATGCAACCAATTGTAGTTCCAATCTCTATCAAAAACACGTAATATCCATATAATATCTATGCCTATGCTTATATCTATGTATATCTATTGTACTAGTATGATGCCTGAAATCCTGTGGAGCTGTTTCCGAATCCCAAGAACCAATTCCGCAGGGAGGCTATACATACGGATATGACACTTACTGTTCTAGTGTTTAAATCAATAAAATCTTCGCTCCATTCCGTCTTTTTTTCGCATTTATTTCACATAAGGCAAGGAGGGTATCTTCATCGCTGGACATAGCCATTGTGCGAAATTGTGTTTGTTTCTACTTCAAAAGTGATCATGTTTAGTTTTAACACAAAGTCACTATCCTATTTAGTCGTAGTGGTGTTCCCAAAAGCAGCAGTGATGCCGTCATCATCGTCAATAAAGTCTTCTGAAACCGGGCCTATGATGGGCTCGAAGTAACTTACAGCACGTTTGTCAATATTTTCCGTTGTGGTGGTGATGGGGCCCGCAACGAATTTTATAACGAGCTGCTGGAAGAACGTAAGCAGGAAGATGATGATGAAATCGTGGAAGAGGATGAGGGCGGCTAGTAGATAGTCATTGAGACGCATCTCCGCATATCGGCCGCCATTGATTGTCTGAGCGTGGTACATCACGAACTGCGAGAAAAAGAGCGAGAGAAAATCTTCGAGTGATTGGAAATCTTACTTGGGTCGGGATTTAGATATAGATTTAACCTACCAACAGCACAACGATTGTGATGAAGACCTGATAGACAATGAACGTGTTTGGCATCTTGACCAGAATGCTGATCATAGCGAAAAAGACGGTGATGATCAGGAAGATGAATGCCAAGACAAACAATATCACGACATCTAGCGTCAGGTCGTGCTGCGGAAGAGAAGATGCCTTCAGAGGAGAGGGTTTCCTCCGTATAAGGGTGTTTACCGGTATAATCGATCCGATTAGTATGAACACGAACAGGAGGAACACGCAGAAAAAGAACCACACGACCATTTCCAGCCAATGGGTGAGTGCCGCCAGGGTGAAAATTCCGACAATCACGAACTCCACCTTTGAAGGGTGCACACTAGTAAACTGTTGATCGGCCGCAGGATCAGGATCAGATGTACTCACTATTAGCAGGCAGATTAGCCAGTTCAGGCAGGTGACGGCGCGTAACTTCTCAAAGAATATGAAAGCGGTGACCAAGACCATGGCCACAAAAAAGAAAATCAGGCTGATCCAGTAGAACTTGATGAAAACGGCATTTATATCCGCTCTAAAAGTGAAGCAGTAGATTCAGTGCCAATGCTAATGCCCCCTCCTCAGAAGCGCCACTCACATAATGGAGACAAGCGCCCATTGGATCAAGGCCACCAAAAGCCACATCAGCGTCAGCGTATAGGACACGCAGGCAAACTTCCTCCTTTCCCTTTGGTACTCCCGAAGTCTCGTTCTACGCCCTTCCATAATCCAACTGTGGTATAAGTCCTAGTGGTTGGAAATGAGTATAGTATGTGGTATTCTACGGACAGAATCACTGAACACAATGCTGTCCAACATTAACGGAGAACTCAAGGCTAATTTGATTTATAGAAAAACCAAGGAGAAGGGAAACTGGGAGTAGCTAGGAAGTAGTCTGTCCCGCTACAAATGACCGATGTTGTTATCTGCTAAAAAATAAAAGGGCATACACTACCGTAGACAACACTCCGACCACCAGTCTACTCAAGGGGATGAGATCGGTGCGGCCCGGCATATCGTACTCTACGTTGCTCAGTTGGCTTACCGTTTTCTGCGATTGGTTTTTATTATTTTGTACTTAAATTTTTATGTAAAGCGAATCCAGCAACACCAGACCGTCTCCAGCTATGGAGCAGACCGGAGATGCCGACGAACGGACAAAGAAAATACTGTGCCAGACATACAAGGTGACCATCATTATGCTGATCATTGGACAGATACAGGTTTCGATTTTCATGGAAATGTGAGTGGAGTTAGGGATTCGGGGGTCGGGATCAGTGCTCCGTCTTATTTCGATCTTCCACCCCGCAGAAAGGCCGTGAAGAGATTCCTCGAAGAGCACTATTATTTCAGCCTGCTGCAGTTCTTCGTCAGCTTCATATCCATACAATTGTACGTGTTCTTTTACCACATGATCGTGCAAAAGTCCTCCTGGAAGCGCATACTGGCCGGCGTCTGGACGGTGAGTCATCTGATCGGTGCGCGGCGATCCATCTTTTTGGCCAGGAACCCAACTAACAGTCCCCGTATCACTACAGTTCGAGGTAAATACCATATCTATCATGAAACCCGCAAAGACGGCGCCATATATTAGCTTAATCATCTCCGTTGCGCTCACCTTCATCGTCATGGCCATCAGTCTGTGCTACGGAAACTTGGCGGTGCGCCATAGGCGTGGTCTCTTCGTAAGTGCTCCCAGGGAGCCACGACTCGTACTGATCCCTCCTGACCTCATGCTAGGTATCACGTCACAATGTGATCCGGTGGAGCGAACGTCTATTTGTCCTCACCAGCTTTGGCATCATCGTGTGCGCCGAAATGAAGCGAATTACCATCGAGTTCGTGACCCTTCTCGTCTACACCACTCTGTCGAACATTGTAAGATCTACTAATCCTCCTGGCCGCTGTAGCTCGTTACCTCTATCTGCCTTAATCATCTGCAGTTTGTGGTGATATTTGCCGCCTCAATAAGGAAACCGAACTTCTATCACTACGAGCCCAAGGGAGACCACATACTCATCGGCCAGCTGTATTACCTGAACTTCTATGCCCTCTACATGGGCTATGTGTGGACGACAGCCTCCTGGTTCGAGATAATGGATTGGAATGTCAAGCTCACAGATTTATTTAAATAAGTCACAGTGTCACAGTCACACACACCGGTCACGCGGCTCTCATCACCAGAAAATGTTCTGAATCGATGTACGCCAATCCGGAGCATGCGCCGACTATCGGAACAGCTGGGCCAGCGGATTGTCGTGGTGTTTACATCGTCCTGCCCTGTCGCATCGCATCGTGCACAGTTTCTATGTATATTGCACTTGGCCCGGTTGCAATCAGCACGGCTCGGAACATAACAGAACGGTTCGGTTGTTTGAGTGGTTCGTGTGCACGTGCGCGTCCGTCGCCATAAAATCAATACATATTTTCTAACCAACGCGCGTTTTACATTAAAAAGTAAATAAATGGCTTTCAACGTGAGAGTTTTCTTCGAATCTTCGGGGTGCTTGAGGTTTTGTAAAGTGTATGTGGCATAGTGTATTTCCAATTATACGATATACAAATACATATACAGAGCTACGCATATTACATACACCCTACACACAGACCTCAGGTCTGGGTTACAATACGTGAAAAATGTTTGTTTAACACTAGGTTTTAATAATTACATCCTGGTTAAATATATGTATGTTTAGATAGTGTTCCTTTTGATTTTCCTCTCTTCATTTCTATTTGAATTAACTTTTATTTGCGCGATTTGGCCAAAGCGAAGGCCACACTGTCCATGTCCATGCCCCTGATGTGTTGGTCCATTTTGGTTTCCTGTGTTCCATATCTGTGCTTTCTGGTTAGTGAATGGAGCGCGACCTTAGTGAGGGGGTGTTTCCGTAACGGTCTTGGGTTCGGTAATGGACTTGGCTCCTCCACCGCTGCTGCCACTGCTTTCTGGCCAGACCGAGACTGAAAGGGAGGGCACAATTAGTCAACAGAACTGGCATTCCGAGCATCAGAAAATTCAACAAGTTATCTAATCCTGAATTGGGTCATCCTGCACAAAGTAAAAAAATACCCTATATACTAGAACTAGAAAGGTATCATCGGATGGACGTATACGTATACGTATACGTTAACACTTAGGCAAAACAATTGCTCCTATTGCCACTATTTTCTATATATGTTCTATATTCTTCTACAACATTGTGATCTAATCCGATAATAGCCATTGCACGCTATAAATATACGAGTTTACCTTAGAAATATTGCATTGCATTAGAACGAAGTATATGTGTGTATGTATCTATAGTTGATGGGGTCAAAGGTTATTCGTTCCGTACGATGTAAACCATCGTACGAGTAAGAGTGTGAAAACACTTTTCTGCCACCCTTCGCCCTTCTAACATTATTACTCTTATTACCAAAGTGGTGTGATGACTTCTCAAAAGAACACATCCCTGCCGTGAACTGAAAATCGTACATATATGGTTTCCACACATAGACATGAGCTAATCTACACATTATAAACTAAACAAATATGATAATTAACACTTGAGGGACGAGGCGCAATTTACCTTTAGTTTTTTGGAGTTTCTTAGCTTAATATAATATACAATATACATGCATACATCTACACTGTACACGTGCGTGTGTGTGTATATAATGACATAAATGAAACCTTAACTTTGTTGTACATATAGAAAACGGAATTTTATAATTTTTGTGTATGTTTTGATCAATTGAAAAGCGACACTGCAAGTAGAAACAGAAAGGGACAACGATTCGTCATCAGTTAGGGCTCGGCATATCTATCATACATATCAATCATCGAGTTAGTTAGCATTGAAAGATCCATTGAAACTTGGGTTATGTGCAGAACCGCAACCACAGATTGGAAAATAGACAGACGCGTTGCAGGGCGTTGGCAATACAAAGCTTAAAGCTAGCATCAGTAACATAAGCTAGATAGTTCTTAGGCCTAAGCAAAAAACCACAACCGTTGCCCGAAGCCAAAAGCCCAAAAGCATAAGCAGATCAGTGCGGAACTTACCTAGGACGATTATGAGCAGTACCACTGCGATCACTCCGAGAATGATCATCATCTTCATGTTGGCCCACCATTGCTTGCGCTTCAGCTTGCCCGCCTGCTGCTCGAACTGAGAGGCACCCTGCTCCAGTTGGTCGGCGCGCTCGCCCAGCTCCGAGAGTTTCTGGTCCCGCTCCAGCACTTTCTCCACGTTGACGCGCATTATGCCCACCACCTCGTCCACTTTGGCCTGTGTCTGCTGCAGGCGCTTCTGGGCCGCGGCATTGTTGTTGCTATTGTTCGTGTCGGCGAAGTTGTTGTTGTAGGCGTTTGGCGGCGGCGGAAGTATAGGAAAACTGTACAATATTATGCGTGTGGTGGGGGAGATGCTTACGTATACACGGAAAATCATCCAGCCGGCATCGTACAAATGCAAGTCAGTCGCTGAGGGCCATTCTGAATACCACTTCCCGCATACGGGTAGCCAGCTCCCTTACATATCAATTAATCAGTGACCAGTGACGTCACATCAATGGCTTCCCTTCCCGCAAATCCGCCTTGCATTTGTACGACGATTCAGGTAGCTTCCGTGGATATTTCAATTTGAGGGCCCACTTACTCGTTTGCGTTGGAGCCGGATGGTGAGGGGGCTTCGTTGTTCTCCATTGTGGAAATTCTGTTCAAAAAGTAGCAAGGAAATAGGAGTTAATAGATGTCTTATTGCTTATTTTAGCCACAATGCAATTTCCAACACATGCACACAAACACGCACAAAGACTGCGATTAAATTTGCCCAACCAAAAAACAAATCCAGAGCACTGACACACACCTTATCTACCGAATGAATAGCCGCTGCTTGTTGGCCTATGAATCATTCCAGTTCCACGGCCGCAGCTAGCGAAAAAAAATGCCATCACCCCGCACCAGCCAAAGAAAGAACTTGTTGCATGCCCTACGCACACATTGTTTCCCTCTGAGCAATCCATACCGCCACCCATGCACTTACCTGACAATGTTACTGAAGAAATACTGCTTTTAATGCACAGAAAAACCTCTCTCTTGCTATTTTTTTAGCAAAATTTCAGATTTTGAGTTAAAAAATTAAAAAATTTCAAGCTTGTGATGATTAGAGCCAGTGTGACCGCGGATATACCAGAATATACCGTCTCACTTTAAAAATATACCGTAAATATACTGACGAATTCAAGTTCTTTTTACATATTCCTCGATTTTGATATTCCGTCGAATATTACTAGCTATATAGAACATTTAGCCGTGCCCACATAATTTTAGCCCATTGATGAATCAATTTTCTACTTAACTGGCTTATTTTTATTACTTGCTTTTATTGTATTTTGACTAAAACAAGGTTTAAACAAAATAGTTCAACAAGAAAACAGTCACTAAAGCCCTAGTATAGGCCTTTGTATACCCTATTTTGTTAATTTTATATGAAGATGAAATGTGATTTATTAAGACCTTTTCTCAAATTGATATTCTTTAGACATATTCGAGTACATTATTGGTATCTCGTGTATATTTATGTCGATCCTGATACCTACTGAGCCTTGGAAGACAAACGTATTCACAATTCTATATCATCCATTTCCCCCAGGGTATGTGTGCATGGAATTAGCAACATGTTTGTGTATGGAATGAGACTCATTGTTGCAAAAGCTAAACTGCGGCGAATCGGGTATTGCCTATATTTCAAGCTATAGATGCCCACTTAGCTTTATCCCATAGATAAATGCATTTTCTACAAGATTGCTTCTTTTAATTACCTTAATGTATTTTATTTTGACCAAAAAACGGATTTCAAATAAATGTTGCTGCAACAGTGTGTATGGAATGCGCAACATTGTGTATGGAACGAGACTCATTGTTGCTAAAGCGAAACTGCGGCGAACTGGGGCGAACTGCGGCGAATTAAAAAAAAACGACCAATTCCTCATATTCTTTGTTCCGTTGAATAATACTATTTATATAGAACATTTAGCCATGCCCACTCAATTTTATACTTTTGATGAATAAATTCTATACATGATTGGCCTATTCGAAATACTTGCATTTATTGGATTTTTATATAAAATTGAAAATTAAATTAATAGATGACAAAAATACCATTTAGCACTAAAAAACACCACATGGGAGCGCGGCGAAAACCAGTTTCTACAGTATGACCCTCAAAATACAAAATATACCGAGTGGTGCGCGCCAAATCGAACTTTTTTGAATGTGATCGACAAGGATTTAAATGTTGTCAACCGGGCCTTTATCTATGCCCACATAATTTTATACGATTTATGAATCAATTTTCTACTTAACTGGCCAGTTTTTAGTCCTTGCTTTTATTGTATTTTTGGCTAAAACAACGCAATAACAAAGTAGTTCAACAAAAAAAAACAGTCCCAATGTTGCTGGTATCTTAAGATATTACGCGTGTATATGCCTTTGTACACCCTATTTCGATAATTTCATATGAAGATAAAACGTAATTTATAAAGACCTTTTCTCAAATCGATATTCTTTAGACATATTCATGTATATTATTAGTATCTTGTATATATTTATCTCGATCCTGATGCCTACGGAGCTTGGGATGACAAACATTTTCTCAATTCTATAATGTCCTTTTCCCTAGGGTATGACAATTAATGTTGCTGGTAATCATTGTTGTCAACCGGTTATTCACCAATAACTCGTTTATTATCTTCTGTCGAATATTCCCAGCTATATAGATCTCTCAGTTTTTCCCAGATAATTATATATGATTGATGGATCAATTTTGATCACTATTTACTACTTTTAAGTACTTGCATGTGTTTTGTTTTGACATAAACACGGTTTCAACAAAAATGTACAACAGTCGCAGTGGTGTGACGTCATTTTTGGATCCAAAAATAATAATTATTCAATAAAAATCAAGAATAATAATTATACAATAAAAATCAAAAACAAAAATTCAATACAAATCAGGAATAATAATTATAATAATATTTATACAATAAAAATCAAAAATAATAATAATTCCATAAAAATCAAGGATAATAATTATGCAATACAAATCAAAATTATATTCCTCGATTTTGATATTCGTTTGCATATAAAAAGCCAACTCAGCCCTTAGCACTTAAATTTGACCGACTGATGAATCCAACTTCTAAGAGATCGACCATTTTTAGAACTATTTTTTTTTTTTATTTTTCCTACATAGATTTTTTGTGGAGTTTAATTAATTAATGTAAAATTACTGTTTTCCAAGCTGCGTTCAAACCTTCGAAATCAGATTGTTCAGACTGAAAATTATTCAATTCAAAATGTGCGCCGATACGTATTTATCGAAACGTAGATCGAAAGTTTAGTGAAATTATGCAGCACTTCTTTGGCATCAGTGTGTACACACTCTAATTCATTGCCTATTTTCATTAACGGATTTTTAAATTTTCTTGCAGTCGCAATAACTGAAGGGGAACGGAACTATGGAAAATGCATAGCTCGCTCGCCTCCCGCTTGGTAGTGCGTCTCCTGCTGCTGTTCGTCCTGGTCAGTGCCGTGTCGATTGTAATACTGACCAAATGCGGCATAGACGAGCTCACGGCTCAGGAGGCGCTGCACCATCATCCCAGCGAAACCAGTGGCCCCAGTTATGTCCTGGGCGGCGACCGTGAGGCGGAGATTGAGCGCCTGAAGCATGAGGTGCTCACCCTGCGTGCTCAAATCGTCATTCTTCAGAACAATCGGAGTGGCCACGGTGGAGCGGCCTCCAATGGCAGCCACCATCTGCCAGAGACCACTGTGGGGCCGCCCTTGCCCCCACTGACGCACCACAGCTACGACTGCAGCAGCTACATCCGGAAGCAGGTGGGTGCCGCCGAGATCCTGCACGGCCTGCCCCTGAACAACGAGTACGAGCTGATTCCCTTCAACCACTTCACCTTCACTCGCGTATTCCCCATCGACCTGGGCCTAGGCAAGCGGGTGGTTGAGAAGCCTATTGGCTATCGCCGCCGTGACCTCATTGGGGCGGTCAACAAGGCGCTGGAAAGCCTCAACCGCAACCATTCAGCACGGGTGCGTGCCAAGGCAGCTGGAGTGGGAGCTGCATTGGACGTGATCAAGTACACGCTGGACGACTTCATTGAGGGCATCTACCGCACCGAGCCCACGACGGGCACCCAGTACGAGCTCTACTTCCAGAGCGTAAAGCACCACACGAGTCCCGTGCGCCGGGCCCTGGTTATGCGCCCGTTCGCCCCCCTCCAGACGGTGCAGTTGTCGGAGACTCCGGCCAGCCGCAGCCCCAGCTCCAGTCCGGCCGTAATCCATGTTATAGTGCCGCTGGCCGGTCGGCTGCACAGCTTCCGTAGTTTTTTGCAGATGTTCGCTAGTCTAGGGGATCGGCATCTCGAGCTGATCGTCGTGTACTTTGGCGACAGTGGGCTAGCGCAGGCCAGGCAGATGGCCGAGTTGTCAGAGAGAACACAGTTCCTCGCCCTGAACGAGACCTTCAGCAGAGGTAAGTAATGCGATTCCCCCAGCCATTCGGCCACTCATTCAGTTTGTCCCATCTTTCAGCAAAGGCCCTGAGGCTGGGGGCGGAGCACATTGTATCCCCATCGCCAGCGGAGGATGTGCTGCTCTTCATGTGCGACGTGGACATCATGTTCACGGCCAGGTTCCTGGAGCGCTGTCGCTGGAATGCCGCGCCCGGCAAGAAGGTAGGTGTCGTGGTCCACAATGGAGCTCCAAGCAGATCTGTAATGATCTCCCTGCCCTCTCAGGTGTACTATCCGGTGGTTTTCAGTCTGTATAACCCGCACGTGGTGTACACGCTCCAGGGCAAGCCGCTGCCCAGCGAGGAAGAGCAGCTGGTCATCTCCAAGGACACTGGGTTCTGGAGGGACTTTGGCTACGGCATGACCTGCCAGTACCGCTCAAACTTCCTTCAGATACGCGGCTTCGACGAGGAGGAGATCGTCGGCTGGGGCGGCGAGGACGTGATGCTCTACCGCAAGTACATTCGATCGAAGATTAAGATCATCAGGGCCACCGATCCGGGCATCTTCCACCGCTGGCACACCAAGGTAACCTTTCGCCATCCCTCATCTCTATCGATATTCTAAGCTGCTCTCTACCTTTGCATTCCCGACAGGTCTGTGCCAGCTCGCTGACTGCCGACCAGTACCGCGCCTGCATCCGATCGCGGGCTTTGAACGAGGCCTCCCATGCCCAGCTCGGCTTCCTGGCCTTCCGGGATGACATAGCCGCCGCCAATGCGGCCAAGCTGCAGTCGTGATACATTTACATTTCCCAAGCGATTTCCCTTGTCCTGGGGCTGCTACTTAATCAACCTAAGGCATACACTCTGTAAAAAAGGCCAGTGTGGAAAATCCCATACTTATGGAACCTTTAAGTCTGCAAAGTGTATTCCTAAGTAGTCCAGTTATGATCATATTTGGATCATATAAATCCACAAGAAAACTTATAGGATCGGGAATGCTTCCTTCTCCGCGTATCCCCTAATTATTGCATTGTGCTGTACACGCATACATGAATACAAATATGTAAAACTGGAGACAATAACTCGTATTTAGCGAAATCGTTGACTTAGCTTAATTGTTGATCTTGTTGTTGCGCCCTCGAGAGTGCCACACACCCACACACAAACAAACACACACACACACACATCACAAATTGTTCTTCCATGAAGCAAACTAGATGCAATCTCCAAAGCCCCAAGATATTTACCATATCGAATCCGTATCTCATGTACTTTGTAACTTAAACTGAGCCCTAAACAGATCTGCCAGAGTGCTGCCCGCTTTGTAAAAACTAAATTAAATCGTTTAATTAAACTTGTCGCCTGGTTGTTGGCTGGTTTTTGTTTTTTCGGCTGGTCGTTCGCTCCATTCCATGGCTGGGGGATGTCGAAGCCAACGACCTCCACATGGGGTTCAGTGAGCACGCATATGAAGAAGGTGATCTAGTACCTGCCCTCTCCTCCTCCTCCTCCTCCTCCTCCACACTCCGGCTATAAGCTGGGGATCTTTCTGGCACTCTAGCGGAAAGTAAATTTGTTATACTTTGATAGAATGGCGACATCAGCCGGAAACATGCCAGCCGTACAACTTTTTACATTTCCACTGGTACTGGTATTTCTTACATCTTCCGAAATTGTCCTTTCAAACACATTAACAAACGAGTGTGGAGTGCTATTTGTGCACAATCTGAGAATTAAAGGAATACATGAATTATCTATGACTTTTGGGAACATTTATTGGACAGTAATTCAATAAGTTTTAGTTGAATCATAGGATAAAATGAGTTTAGTTTTGAACATTTTGTTATCTTAGAAATATCGCTATGACTGTCTTAAAAGGTATTTCTGTTTCTGAGCTCTCTGTTTCCAATCATCTGATATTGAAACGCTATTTGAAATCATGGATTGGATTGAGAATATGTAGTTGAATATCCTTGTCTGAAGGGGGACTCACTTCATATGTCCGACCGCAGAAGTGATAAACTCGAATAAAACTATGTATTTCTGTAACTAGTTTTTTTGTGTGTCAAATATGAGTCTCAGGGTATTCCCCGTTCGGTCATAATTTCTTGCATCAAATTTCTCTACTCTGAATTGGATGTCTTCACCTGGAAAGCCTTTTCACGGTCACGGTCGTAGGTTATGTAAGCGCCGAGGAGTGTTTTGTTTTGTTCAACTTGTTCGGAATTCGAAATGCTAATCTCGCAGCTGGAAGTCTGAATCAACGACTTAGAAGCCGTGATATGATCGAAATAATCTGCGATAATTTCACAGGAGTGTTCTCTGGCGGCTATTACGCAATAGCAGACTCATAATTAGCAAGGGATTTCGACAAATAATTAAGGCGTTTTTTCGGCACATCCTCCCTGTCATTCTGCGAAAGACAAACTGACCATGACATGACCAGAGAATGCCAAATGAGACTGGACCCGAGCTCAGCCAGCACACACCCCAAGGTGTTGGGCAGGTGAAGTGACAAATCGACGCCCGCCCCAGCCGAGATTCCGAGTGCCAACACCTTTGCCGCGAATGCCAGCGAACCAGAGCCATCAGCAGCCCGTCGCCTCGCCTCGCGGTTCAGTGCTCTCGACTGGGCAGAGGCAGAACCCATCTCGGGCACGGGCTGGGGCTCGGGCCGGAGTTCAGATAAATACGCTGGCGACCGCTCTAGCCAGATCATTCGCGGTCCGACGCCAGATCGAGAAACTCTGACTCGTTTCGAAAGGTGAACAAGTGTCGAAAGGATAAACATATTCGGTTTCCCATTTCCGTGCCCCATCAAACCGCAGAGGCACAACACGTGCCTGGTGCAACATTTGTGATTAAGTCGTTGGAACAAAGTGAAGTGCGGACACCATGCGTGCTTTTGGATTGGTGAGTGCGAATGCCAGGGGATTCATTTAGGGGATGATAGGTCCACAATGAGGAGCTTAAGATTGACTACTGCTAGACTACTGCTAAAGCAATATTTCTGACGATTTACCGTGAATTTCTAAACCACTTCTGTGGATTTCAAGACTTCAAATTCTGGAAAGTCTAACGAGAGGAATTTATAAGAAATGGAGATCAAAGGGAGGGCCAAATTATTTTATAGTTGAGTAAATTAAAGGAACTTATATATAATAGGGAACAAATATTTTCTTCTACAATTCGAGGGCATATAAGAATTTTGAGGATTTCCCATTCAAATCCATTTTATCAGATACCAAATAATGTGGGCCTAAACAAATTATAGATAGTACTTTTCATCTTCTTAGCCAGAAACCATAGATCCCTTGCAGTAATAATCCAATGTTAAGCTTATTATTGGGGAAGGGACATTACACGACCTATCATGACAATGCTTTCTGAAAGTTCACTGTTTTGTTTTATGAGAAACCTTTCTCTCACATTGTATCTAATCCGAAGGCCTCCAAAAATTGGTCATGCAATGTTCTATACAATATACATTATGCAATCCACAAACATAACGATTTTCATAACGAAGCCATCATATCCCCGAAAAGACTGTCCATTTTGGAAAGGCAACGACCCTTGGTCGCTGTAACAATTTACCATATTCATATACACTTTGGCTCCCAATTCGAAATATAATTATTCTAATGAAGTTGGCCAGAGTCAGTGACAAGTCAGATTGTCCACAGCCACAGTCAGAGAGCCAGAGTCAAAAACCAAAAGCCAAAAGCAGCGCCAGCCACCGGAAGTTGTTCCTGATGCTTGGCTAACAAAGCGTGGCGGCGGGGACGGGCCAACAAAACACTGTTCATGATTACCTCTCTTGGTTGGCCAGTTGGCAGTTGGGATTTCCATTACCATTACCTGTTGGGTTTTCGGCCATTTGAGCGTTATGATTCCGAATTCGAATCTGAATTCGAATCTGTATCTGTATCTGTATCTGTGTCCAGGCCAGAATCTGATTCATGCAGCCATGAGTGGCTCTAAGAAATGATGTCAATGCTATTTGGGCGATCATACATACCAACGCGAATCACTTTGCGTGGTATTCGGAAGAATTCCGTTGCATAATCGAGGGGTGCTGATCATATTTCACGCCGACTGAGCCCCAGTGTTGTCGTCCATTTTTAATGGCGCAGAGGCTGGGGCTGGTATTGGGGCTGGGCCGCAGGCCTTTGTACTCTCGCCTATTATGATCGGAGACTGCCGGGGAGCTCCGCATTGGCCCAGTTATCTGCTGAACCGCGAAATATGTATTGGCTGGTTGCCTCCGAGTCCGGAGGCCCATTGCGATAGGGGCAATTAAAACCAATCAAGTAATGATCTCGACCACGGTGTATTTCAGATGCTCTGCCTGGCCCTGCTCGTCTGCGCCCGTGCCCGTGCAGCTGTGACAGGACCCGAGGCCCGATCAGGTGTCAGCCCCGGCCAAAATCTCAACGGCCCAAACCAGCAGGTGGCCACAGCTGGCGTGGGGGTTCTGGACTCGGTGCTGCGGGGCAAGAGCCGCCAGTCGCGCTGCGTGCGCTGCTACGAGGATCGGGATAGGGATCGCTACTACGGCGGATACTCCAGTCGAATGGGCGACGATCAGCGCACCAGCGCCTGGTACTACTCGGGCTACGATGACCGCAGCACCACCAGAGATCGGGACTATGACAGAACCTACGATCGCAGTCGCTACTACGACGATCGCTACACGCCGCGCACCTACGATCGCTACGAGGGCCGGGGCGGCTACGAGGGCCGGGGGGGCTACGACGACTACAGACGAGGCGGCAGCTCTGGCTACGGCTCAAGCTCTGGCTACGGCTCAAGCTCTGGCTCCTATCCGGATCGGGAGCGCGGCTATGGCTACGGCTACGACAATCGGGAACGCTATTATCCAGATCGCTACAGCGATAGCTCCTCCAGAGGTTACTTTTGATCAGCCCATGATATCTCTTTGCATTCATTCTTAATTCTTTCTTCATGCCACAGATCGCTACTACGATCGATCGCGTTCTAGCTACGATCGTTACGACCCGTATGACCGCTACTACTCCAGGTATGATTTTCGCAACTATCGCCCTTGGGATGAGACCTACAGGTATCGCTAAACAGTTCCTGTCTTTGTATATATGTATACCTATCGCTATGTGCATTCCACTTCCCCTCTCACACTCTCTCTGCTATGTTTACAAGATGTTTACATTTCTACTCTCTAATTTCATACAAAAAAACGTACAACTACAACAACAACAACACCATTACAACATGAACACCAACAACAACAACAACATGAACATCAACATCTACAACAACCAAAACACAACACCAACAAAAACAACAACAACAACAACACTGTGGAAACTCCTGGATGCTCCTGCACCCCAACTGCACAAAATCCACCTTTCCGCCTAACCTGCACCCTCGCCTCCAACCCGACTCGAAACCCGATCACGCCCACGCCAACGCCAACGCCAACGCCAACACCCATCCCACCCGACCGCCCGATCAGGGGACAGTCGGGCTTCGACAATTCGGGACGTGGCTATTATTTTGCCACCGACGAGGATGATGGAGACATGCGCACCCGCGGCAATGGCAACGGCTACGCCTATAGCCGGCCCCCTCAATCGCTCTCCTCGCCCTGCGGCCGCTTGGCCGGAAATTGTCCCTATGGCGGAGGCTCCAAGGTCTCATCCTCGGCCATAGGAAGCGACAGCTCCCGCGGCGGAGGACATACCAGTGTCCTGGGATCAGATGCTGGCATCAAGCCCAATGGCCAGGGCAGCTGGACCTATCTGGGGGACCAGGACAAATCCGAGGGCAGCGGCAGCAGCAGCGGAGGGGGCAATGGAGGAGGGAGTGGCTCATCGGGTAGCGCTAGCATGAGCAGCGGCAGCAGTCGGGATCGAGAAAGGGAACGGGATCGGGACCGCGATGCACAGAGGTAAGTTGCAGTGGGTGCTGCCCCTCGCCGGCTCCTGCAACTCCTGTCCACAGCTCCAGCCCCCAGCACTCGTCGCAGCCAGGAATCGGTCAAAGCATTAAGATAGGCTTGCTCTCTTGTCGCCCCTTGTAGCTCTTCCTATGGTGGCCGACCGCGTCCTCTAGGCGTCAGCTATCTGCTCGAACGCGACTCGGGCAATGCCGCAGACGCCTCCTCGGATGGCCCAAGCGACCCGGCGAGTCCTGCCGGCGGTGGTGGTGGAATTAATGGTGAGGGAATGCCCATTCCCGCGGCCCAGACGGCCTCCGAGGGCAATCCCGGCAAGACGGTGGACAATGCAAGGCAATAGCTCCGTTAGCGGAACCGAAACCAGATCCTGCCCCGATGCGAGCGGCCTGGTGGCTCCTGCTGGGAATGGCAGCGCA